TTGAAGCAGCAGCAAATAGTGCACTTCGTATTGTAGCAAAACCCATAAAATAGCGGGAGTCCCAACAAAAAAACATCTTTGGATGTTCCATGTTTGATAACACCAGAACACCTCGCAGCCGGCAGGTGGATAGATCAATTCTTCGGCCCAGAGGGTCAATCTCAATTCCATCTCAACTGCCCCAATATGGTCCTGATAAAGCGAATAGAGACTCGATTTCCCTAAGGTGTAGAATGGCAGAATGGCCCCAAATCTAGAGCCACCTACCCCAAGGTAAGGCCGGCATACCCCCAGGGTGGCTGGGATGCCAGGTCAATCCATTGACCGGCCCTATCCCTGTTGAAACCGAAGACTTCGTTGGCAGGTGACGATGGTCGGGGTTGTTGATGCCACGGTTTTCCCATCCGAATTCACTCCAACTGGGGATTGTAGGTAAGCCACCCATTTCTGATCAATTTATTAACTTATATATATATATTATATGTATATACTGTATATATATATATGTATATATATATATGTATATATATATGTATATATATTAGGGTTCGGGGTTGAAACAAAAGAATGTTAGGGATATACATGGGTATACACTAACCAGCGGCACGGTGGAGACGGTGGAGGTGCTGAGCCGCTGCCAAGGGCTACCCCATGGTCGACTAGCAACTGGATCGGCTATGGTTGTTGCTTGCGTAGCTTCAACATGCTTTAAAAAATCAAGGAAGCCACTATGTTGCCATCATCGTTCTCAGAGGCCAACCTGGTTTGTTGCTCAAATGATACCCTCATTTTTATTTCTCCCATCACTTCTGATAGATACCTCTTGCCCCAGATGGTTGTGTCGAGCTTAAAATCTCCCAACAATCCTGAGGCACCATGAGATGCCGGGGTTTTCCCAACAATCTCCCACTGGTTTTGTTGACGAAACCACCCGATTCCCAGGCTGCTGTTGCTCCAAAGACCCGACCCTGAACCGGAAGAATGGACTTACAAGGAGCCATTCTTTAACGGGTGTAGTATAGTATGGTTTTGAAGCCACGTTTCATGCATGTTTAAAGGATGGATGGTCAGTTCATTCGTAATGCGTCACAACATGTCATAACATCCTCAGATGTTACGTGTCTATATATATAATTATATATATATACATTAAATAATTATATTATATAATATTATATTATATAATATTATATTATATTATGTTATGTTATGTTATATTATATTATTAGATTATGTTATATTATATTATATTTTATTATATTATATTATGTTATATTATGTCATATTATATCATATTATATTATATTATATTATGTCATATTATATCATATTATATTATATTATATGGTATGATATGTGGTGTTATGTTACACTATCTATTATATAGAATCATTACAATCTATATAATGGGATGATGTTGATATAGGGGCTAAAACATGTCATTGGCCTATGGGGGCTTCCATGGATGTTCCTTTCGAGCTGCGTGTAGGAATTGCATGGATTTCCATAGAATTCCTATGAATTCCTGCAACTGGTCACTGGTTATATATTTGGTTACCCTCTGGTTGTCTACCATCCAACCTGGCAAAGGCAGGCTCCCAGTCTGTCAGATTTGCCGAGATCATTCGCTGCATATCCATGGTGCTGGTACCATTCATTCTGTTACATAACTATCGTTTGACCCTCCAAGTATACCCATCAAGATGAGTAAATGTAACATGAATTACGGGGTAGACATACTGATTTTTAAGGGCACTTGGAGTGGTCAAACGGTAGAGCATAGACAGGCGGGTATCACATTCACTTCATCCTGGTTCGCCAGGAGCTGTTCAGAGGGAAGCTGCGAAATGTGCAGTTCCGCCTGCAGGGACGTTTCAAGACTGAGCCGGGGAAGGATCCGTGGCAATTTTCACACATCCCATATCGCCTTTGACCACGCCACTGCGCCACTGACCTTGGATTGATATCTATATACATTGTACTTGATTATACACATATCTTTGTTTCTGGGACTATTATTCAAACTGAACTGGTTGGCATGTTGTAAACTGACCTCCCATTTCTCTGGTTGCTTTTCCACGCTGTGCAGGAGATGTTCATGTCAATACAGGCCCCTAGGGAAGTCCTGCTGGATTCCATACGGAAGAAGGCCGGGATGGTCCATTGTCGCAATCTGTTTAATTACTGAGCAAACTACGTATCCAAGAATATGGGTTCGTATATTTATACTGTAATTTGTTTTCTTTAGTTCATCTAGCTATTCTACTTCAGCCAATAGTTTACTGTTTTGGCTCTGGAAACGTTTAGAATCACTAGGGGATTATCCGCCAACTGAAACCAGAAGTGCAAAACATTGGTTCATGTCGCCCGGATTATCAAAGCAACAACTTGGCCGGTTGCTAACTTCAGGTCAGGGATGGTTTTTGCATTTGCCACTCACTTTCACCATTCTACCACATAGCCAATCAACCGGGATCTTATATATTACAGTATACTATACTAATAGATATATCAAACAAACTGATGAGACAATCAACTGTAAGCTTTTACCATGTAAACAATCTTGGGGTGCACCCATAAGTTACATATACTTTGAATTATTGGGATCGTATAAATTATATATACATATGTATATATATATACAGAAATAATTACTTGAATTAGATGGGATTATACTGAGTGGATCAATGGATGTTTAGACTCCAATGGCACATATCGTTATTGGTCTTGAAGCGTTTCTGTTTGATGTGCGGTCAGGATCCGTTTGGGTTAGGGGAGCATGTCAGCTGGTCACGCAGCGCGCTTGTAGGCTGCCTCCCTTTCGCCCGGGTGCCAAGCGACTTCCAGATGAGAAATAATTAAATAACTGAAACAACATTGAAAAAAACAAACATGAGAATAAAGATCTAGATCATGTAGATGAGGTGCTTTGGCATCCAGCATTGATTTTTGAATTAAGACCCGTAGATGTCTTTCATCTCAGGACAGGCTGGCAACTGGGATCATAGATGCATTTTTTTCTGCAATCAAAATGAATTCCCAGAGCGGGAATCAGTTCCGTTTGCAACTAGTTTGCTGTTGGTGAGTTTTAGTGACCTTCCCATGTTTGTGGCTTGAATCTCCCTAGCATCACCGCGTTCGCAAGTGAATTGTCCATAATATTCCAGGATACTCCAGGCTCATTTTGTTAGGATCCGGCTACCGAGTCATCCTGATTGAGAGTATGCTGCAAAGACTCATCGACTGTAATGCATTTCCTCAGTTGATTGCCAGCCAATGGGAAAAGGACAATGTGGGTAAGTATAATTCATGGATATTTCCAGCCGGAAAGAAAACGTGGCTGGAACATCTCCAAACTGGAGGTTTAGTTCGCTGGGAACATATTCGAACAACATGGCTAAATACTGGATGTCCAATTTCTATGCTTGAGTATCTTGGACTTTCTGAAGATGCTTTGTTATTTTGCAAATGGAAAATCCACTAATTACTTTGGGGACTTTTTTGGGGGGGTCCTTGCACAAATCCAAGTGGGCCATGGGTTTTAAAACCCAACATGATATATAAGTGGGTGTGGAGCTCGGTCAAAGCCCATTGTCCCACCAGAAACGGGGATTTTGCAGATTTCTAACCAGCTTTGAATACAATAATTATAATATATTATAATCACAATCAAAGTTTATTCACAGGATTGCTCATTTGTCTCGTATATGTTACATTGATTATGATGATTTACAGTATATGATTATATATATATATAGATGGATCTTACATATATATATATATTATACAAATATCGGCATCAATTGGCCTTGTTTTTCTCCAGGCTACCGGCTTCCAACTAGGACTAGTAGACAGTCATGGCATGATCGCTGATGAGTCTGCCAGGCTGAATATGTGATATACTTAAATGAGACAAGCAAACAAATTCACATGCATTAGTTATGGATCAAATATGATCAAATGATTTCAGTCAGTTTTTTTTTTCAAACGACCCCATTTGACCTGCCTTAGATGGTGGTTTCGGGGGAATCATATGGAACTATCCCCAAGTGGCTTTATTTCAGGTCGGTGGATCATTCGAACTTTTCCAGATGACCGGATGATATGTACCATGTGAAGAGTTGGATTTGATTAACCCACTTATTGGGGGTTGGTCAGTGGATCATTCTGATTTCTCCAGATAGTAGTTGTGAAAGGTCATTAATTATATCATTGTATACCCATTACATATATCCCTATTGTATATCCATGAGCAGTTTGTTTCCAGTCTTGAGGGGCCAGGCCCCTCCCCAGGTGAACCTCATAGCTGGTAAATGGATGTTCACCTATAAAATGATTTTTTATAGTAGAATTTATAGGATTGATATGAGTATTAATCGATGGCCATTTCATCATAGAAATATATAGAAATCAATATGTTGTATGTATTGTGTAGGGATTATTTGTGTGCTATTCGATCTTGTTAGGGGACGCCTGCAGTGATAAAATCATTTGGGGTGGGGTGGTCGTTGCATTGAGGTTGAATTTCATTAACAAGATGGTGCAGAGAACTGGAGAGATGGGCTGGTGGCCCTGCCAGGGGCAGGATTTGCCAAAGGTTTTTTAATTTTGCTGAATGGCATAACATGACCTTTAAGTTTATGGAAGCTTCTGCATTTGGTTGGTCTTGATGTGTCTTGATGATTGACCTCTTTTGGTAAAACACAGTAAAAGCCCAAAACACATCATGTGTTCTCAATGTTTGGACACCAGGTCCTCCTTGATACTGGCACATCTTCATCTAGGATTTCATAGGATTTCTGCAAACGCCCATGATTCTAGGACCCGATGGCCGATGTTTCACCCCAAATGATGTTTTCAGAGTGGGAACACCTTCAGGAACAAAATTCCCAGATTTCCCGAAAGCTCCAGATTGTTCAGGGTACAACTTCGAGCCGCGACGTCCGCCCTGATCCATTTTGATCCACTTGCTCGTTCCCGCAGACCAATCAGCCTTCAGCATCAGCGCGGTGCAGCCATGATTTCCCTGCTGCTGACGATTCTTCACCTGGCATATGGAACAAATGTAACTTGCCAGGGAAGCAGCTGCACAGCAGGCATGGCATACCTGCAGCTGCTACTTGGCGAGAGAGAGTTGGGCTCTTGTTTTTGTCGGGTTTAAAGAGGGAGGTTGTGCCACTATAAATGCAGCTGCCCGAAAAACAAGACAAAGACAAAGGTTTCGCAGTAAGTACAATCCAAAAGGTGTGGCTCTGTGTTTAAATCCATCCGGAAAAAAACAATGAGTTGATACCGTTTGAAAGTCACTATCCAATTCCAGACAAGTCCATAGTTTGAGAAATGAGCCGATGAAATGATGCAGATCTTCTCAATGGATGGTTTACCTATGTTTATCCCGAAATCATACAATCGTTTCAGCATGGTCTTTGTATGTGTCCAATTCCCTCTTCAAGATAAGCCGTGGTTATCCCGTCCTCGTCTCCGGGAAATTCTAACGGTACTTTGGATATTATCTGATATATATATAATGTGACATATATAAATATATAATGTGACATATTTATATATATATATATGTGTGTAATGACATATATATATATAATATAATTATATATATATGATATAGCTGCTTATATATATAGTATAGTATAGTTTTATAATATATATATATATATGATATGAACACATGTGACATCCCGTAAACATCGTTGAATGAGGTTTCAGCGGGCCGTTTAAGAACACATTTTTTTCTGCCCAATCAAACGAGCTTGGCGGTTGTGCCGGGATATGGGCGACCTTAGGTCCTTTGACTGGCGAAGTTCCAAGGTGTTGCCATGTGCCAACTTGTGCCAATGGATGTTTAATAAGACATCATGAACAAGTGTGATAAATGTGATGGATATGGCGGCCAATATATATATATATATATGTATATATATATATTATACATCCATATGCCAATCCAACATTACAAGTGACGTTCCTCAGGTTTTTTTCTAATGACCAACATGGCATTATGACCGTCCCGAGAACTGGGGAACCGACCAGACTGTCACATGGGAATTGCTGCCCCAAGGCATGGCAATGTCCAACGTGCCCTATCACAGCAACTTGATGGGTCCGCCAGGGGGCCGCAGGTTCTAACATCTTTAAGTTGTTTGTCTGAAAATCGTGATAAAAATGCCGCCTTTTGTTCCATCCAAATTTCCATGGAAATCCTATGTTCGATACTGTTTGATCTTGATTTTCCATGTTTTTCCACCGTAAAATGACAAGAATTGGGAGTGTAATTCACCATAATCAGCCATAATCAGTCGTAGCATGCCATAACCTCAATTATATTATTTCATTGACCATAGTTGGGGATGGGTCAAAACTTAAACCTATTATTACCTATTTGGGGGGAATAACCATCCATTTTTGATCCAGCAACCAGCAACCATAAAAAACTTAATATATATATATATATACTACCTTATATGATGAGTACAAAATTATAGCTATTTTGTGATACCTAGGGTACCAGGGTTTTGACCCATAACTTAATAAGTGGTTAATGGTATCATTCCCAAAAACGACACTGGTTGCTGAGGTCCGACGATTTCGTGCCCATGGACGGTGGCATGGGACGTGCTTGTCGTGGGGCATCACGGACAGACAACTCGCCCAGCAATTACGTTGCTTGGTTTCGGACAAAGCGGTAGAATGATGGTGTTTTTCTTTCACATGTTCGATGCTTGGAATATTTACATATATTTACTAACATTCTAATAAGAATATGAACACATATATATGTATATATAGGTTAATATTCCATACATGCGGATGGCTATGACCGTCTAGAGCCGGTGATTTAATAAGAGGCTAAAGCATGTTTAAGCACAGGAGAAATAGTTTCGAAATGGTATGGTTTGGATTTTGACGAAAAGACATGTGATCACCAACAGAAATGAGAATGACATGCACTCGAAAACTGAGTGAAATGACCACCAAGCACAGAGGGTTGCGGATTAGACGGATTAGACTTGGGATGAAAAAATAAGTCGGCCCCGTTGCGAGCAGAGCTAATACCATCACTATCCACTACGACAGTAAGATGTGGCAAGTTTGACAACCCCACCTCCTTCAGCTGATTTCAGTTGAATGAGTTGAATGAGAATGACCATGTTTGCTGATTGCCACGGGTACCTGAAAGATGAATATTATGGCTGGTAAATGTACGTGTGAAAATAGGGTGCCAATGAATAAGCTAATTACAAGTGATACAAGTGATAAAACAAAAGATATGATCACACTATGTGTGATGTGTGGATATTGTCACTTCAAAATTTGACAGACTCCCAATCCTATACATATGCTATACCCATAGACTCAGACTCAAATGTGATTGTTTCGCGTTTGCTATGATGTGCGTCCGGGTCAACAAGTGTTTGCACATGGCTATGCTGGCTTGTAAGTCCTCCGCCAGGGGTTATTCCATTTATCAAGTTCGGAAAGTACGCATGGATACTATTAAGCAATACTAAGCAGTTCCCCAGAACCCTGTCATTACATCATGTCAGCGTCTTCATTGTTGGTTGAAACCGTTTAAGCCTGAGAAATCCCTATAGTTACCGCTTGAAACTGTGACTACCGGGATGGACATGCACTCGTGGTGCTTGCATAAATGCCGTTTCCTTGTGGTTGGATGAAAGAGAGATGTGACCCATTTTGCAACCACAGGTAGTAAGAATTTATGTTTCTGGTCTTGACAAGTTTCACTTGTAATGTCTGACTGATTCTGAGTCTATTTTTCCGATGTCGGTGAGTTTCCCCAGACTCACAGGAAGTTTCCCTGAAGAGAACAGATCAGCAGAATCACCATAGAATGATGCTTATAATAGGATTATATAGGTATATATCTAACCCCACCCCAAAACCTATGTTTCTTGAAGTTTAGATGCCATATATGTGTGATTTTTGGTCCTGTTAATAGCATATCCATTAAAAGCACCACCACTTGTGGTGGTGCTTGGTAACTTCGCCTCGCTCCCGAGGTGGTGAAGACAGTTTCCAACCTTGAGGATCGATGGGATGGGATTGGCATGAAGTTAATATGGAGTGTTTTTCAGCATTGAGAATGGGATTTCATGGAATATTCACATATATATATATACATACAATATGTATATATATATATACACATACACATATAGGGACAATGGATTATCGTTGGATATGTAATCAACAATTGATCAACTACTGCATTTTTAGGTGTGATTGAAAATGGTTTGTGTATGCCCAAGTTATGACAATTCTCATGGAAGACAAGATGATGATAAACCATCAACTTTGGGGTCAAACTTATTCTTACTCATGTTATCTCCCCCAATGGCAAAAATATGGTGTAACCACATATGGCTATATAATGAAGATTGCTATGAAGAGTATTTATATCACCCAAAACGGTTATGAGCAAAACCTATATACACATGATACATTTTTATAGTGCCATTTTTTTTGGGATGAACATCCAGCTATACCAGCTATTGTTCAAAAGTATGGGACATGATTGGACCACATTTGTGTACTCCCTTCAAGTATATTCAGTTCTTCAATGCTTGCTGGGCTGCCTCTTTGAAACATCGTTTGTGTGTGTGTTTGTGTGTTTCATTTTGCAAAGTGCAGTCAGTAGTCACAGATTGGATTCTGTTGGACGTCTATTCTTTGTGAAGTTTTGGATCCCGATAGTTTGTCAAGTAGAGAAGCAGACGAGAGGACACCCATCCCCAAAGAAAATTGTCTTCCACTGTTGCTTCCCTTCAAATGTTATTCATTTCTTGGTTAGTTCTTAGATTTTTGCTAGGCTACCCCTCTCAACAATTGTTTGTGTGCGTGTCATAATACAAACTTTAGCATACTCCAGGAGGGTTTTGGATCCTTCAGGACCACTGTCTCTTATGTGGGTCAACCTTGCATGGGTGCTGTACTTCCATGGTGCCATAAATTATATATATATATCTCTATAATATATATATATAATATATATATAATATATATAATATATATAATATATATATATATACATACATACACATGCCAGCCTATGAATACGCTGTCTTGACCGTCTCAGGTGGACCAATATACTTTATATACAGGTATACCAGCAATTTGTCACCATTTACCGGGGAATTATGGTGATTGATCAACCATCAAATTTGGGGGTGCTCCTGTTGCTTTTCCCGGAAAGACAAGGCACTTCATCGGAGAGGGAAAAGATAAAGACAAATTGACTATGGACGACCATTGCACTGATAAGCTTTCAACATTATACTATCACAATCACATAGTGTAAATGTATAGTGTTGCTGGTTCAATTGCTTTTGTTTGGGGAAAGGCATTTGAATCAACTATGAAAGGTCTTCTTTTCCGAACCGAACCTCTCTCAGGAATGCAAGACTGCATGCATGAGCGAAGCCAGCTGTCGCGGCATCGAGTGTTTCGGCTAAGGTTCTAGATGGTTCTAGCAATAAAGCTAGACTTGGAAATGGCTACTGGGGTAGTTTTCATGTTGAACCCCTTGAAAAAACAAAAATGTGGGTTTTGACTGAATGTTTACTGTAGGGGGAAAAAAAACAAAAAAAAGCCAGTGGTGTGTCATCATCTTCCCTACTCAAATGCCATTTTTAGGGATATAGTCCATTTTCAGACACACCCATGTGTTCTGTTCTTTCAGGAAATTCAGCTTCTCGATAGGGAGAAGATGTTTTTTTTAGCAGGGGATGAGTTGCGATGGACCTTGACATTTGGGGATCCAAAAACCGAGGGACCTTGGCAACAGCAGTGTTCTGCTAGGGATGGGAATGGGATCAGTAGTCAAGTTACTCAACAGCCACAATACAATGTATTGGGGGAATGAACATCCATGGGTAAAAGCCTGTTTGGTGTTCACTTGGGTATCTTTCTGCTGGACGCGCGGCAGGTATAGTGATAGCCGATGCGAAGTTTGGACCAGAGCAGTTCCCTGGCACCTTTTGCGAAGTAGGAAAACAAAAAAAACATGGTAGATACAATTTGATACTGCATTTGTTTGATATTTTCAGTATCTAAACTGGTATTTACCAGTATTTTTCAGATACTAAGATATTTATAAAACTGGTAATATCTTAGTTTCCCTTTTGGTGGTTGATGCTTGACGATTCTCTTCTGGTGAAACATGGAGGTTCGGTCGAAAATGCACCAGGATGGTATCATGGCGTCTATCCCTCTGGATGGCTTCAGCTGCTACCGCTATGGTTTCTTGGACGAATTGGACCACCCAGAGACCCAGAGACCACATCATCTGTTGTTGGGCTTTGGGTAAACAAGTAAACTGCTGTACCATGCTTTTGACGATCTTGATTTCTCCATATTTCTCCTAATTTGAATCATCTCTCTTAAAACATATTTCATTGAATGTTGATCCGCTTTCATGGAAGTTTCAAACCCCAGTTTGTAGAAAAGTGGATCGTATCCAGGCCTAATCTCGTAAGTCCCCAATAGATCCCAATAGGAGTTATCCCAGAAGACTTAGCTCAGCTGGCTCAGCTGGAGCTGTCCAGAGATGATCCGCAAGGGTACCACACTGAAATGATACATCCAGTGTAGTCTTTCCAACGCAAATATCATTGCCCATATATATATATATTGTATTATATATTACCGTTACCTAAAGTTGCTTTGTTTTTTTTTCTGGTTTACTAGTTATAGATAGTTGTAGCTTATATGTTTTAGCTGAATGTTCCCACATCCCTGTTGCATCTTGGTACCCGGGCTCGGAGTACCCCATCCTGATCGAAGGGGAACCATCCCATGATCCATCCAATTCTGGAAGAACTGACTGTTCTAAGTTGTCACATCCTATGGTCCTAGCTATATATGTATATATATATATATTATGTATATATATATATATATTATGTATATATATATATTATGTATATATATATTATGTATATATATATATATTATGTATATATATATTATGTATATATATATATATATATTATGTATATATATATACACGCAGCGTAGAGGGTCCCCATTCCCAATCAAATGTTGTTGCAACTCTGCATTCCATTGGGAAGATCTTCAAAGGTCTTAGGGAATATTAAAATCCCACCCCTGTTAAACGTTACATTCATTGAAGATCTTCAATAAGGGTGTAATTCTCCCAGCCCCGTTAAACTTCTACATTCATTGAAGATCTTTAATAAGGGTTTAAATCTCCCACCCCCGGTAAACTTCCACATTCATTGAAGATCTTCCATAAGGGTTTAATTCTCCAACCCCCGGTAAATTTCTACATTCATTGAAGATCTTCAATAAGGGATGATGATGATGATGATGATGGTGATGATGTTGATGGTGATGGTGATGATGGTGATGATGATGATGATGTTGATGATGATGATGGTGGTGATGATGATTATTATTATTATGATTATGATGATGATGCGTTGCCTGTCGTGGTTGCGGTTCCGGGCAAAGCCCAGGCATTTGCCGTATATATATATAATTATATATATGTGTGTGTGTGTGTGTTTCATTAATTTCGATCTATTTGAGCTATAAGGACATCACTTGTCGACTTCACTGCGATCATTTTACATATTGTGAATCATCCCAAAATGGCCCCAGATGGTCTTGCTAGAGGTCAGTGATTCCTGGCTGTACTTTTCAGGGCTAGAAGCGAGTATAACCCAAAGTTGGGATATAGGCAATGTAATTTGGGCCCTTTACATCTCTTTACGATTCTTTACCCATTGATTAAGTTTGCAACTCACCTCCAAGTGATGCAGCTCAGTCGAGCCCAAGGTCCCTACACCACTACCACCACCATGCCCCTGCGTAGTGGCACATTCGAAGCTGTGGATGGTGCCGCTGGACGTGCCTGTCGCGGGGCCACTGGGGGTAACTTGGAGAGGAGCCAGCGGGTCCCATGGCAGTCGGTTTATGCTAAAAAGTAAGCCCAAAAAGAGAACAACACGTCAATTCCCAGTAAAACATAGTAAAACGATCTAGAACTTGTGATATATGACTTGTCCATCTTTATGGCGATTGGGGAAATTCTTATAAGCTATTCATGGGATTCCATGAAAGCTTACAGATGCCCCAGGTGACAACCTTCCCAGCCATTACAAGATCTCTGCTTCAGGAGCCAAGGCAGAGTGGTTTGTGGCTTAACCGCAGTCCCCAATCAGAGTAACTGCCAGAAATGACCTACCGCACCGATAAAGTCAAATCACTGGAGGTAAGGGAAGTCAATGGATGGCAATAGATATTTCTCACTGACATCGATGTGTGACTTGTACGTTTCTATGACATGACTTTTTCCATATGCATATGAGTAAATAATGCTAAATACACATTAGTATATATACATATAGTATACAAATACATTAATCATGTGTTTTTGGGCTCCACAGATTTTGGAGCTGACTTGTGCTGCGTGATGTTGAAAAACATTGACCAAAGAAAGTTGGATCTGTGGAACTGGGAACAGATTCAATCATCAATGAATACTTAAAGTTATACATGAGTTATAGAAAACATTAACATGGTTAACATTAGTTTAATAAAATGGTAAACTATCAATATACAATTATACAGTTATAATAACTAGATTAACTAGGTTTAACATGGTTTAACTATGTTTAACTTGGTTTAACTATGTTTAACTCAGGTTTTTTCAATATGTCCGACCTGGAACATGACTGAAGCCAACATGAGATATGTTTGAGATTTGAGAGATCTAGGTGATCTAGGAGATAGTCTATGTATGTAATTCTCTAATATATAATGTATATCTATTATATAACCATGCTTATACTTTTCCCACATGCTGATATTTATCTTCCACACAGTGTATTTTGGACTATATTTTTAGGTAAACCCCAACTAGTAGTTTATGGATGTTCATCCCATCCAACTGTGGTTGGAAACTCCGGCAGGAGAATCTTCGCTGGATGCGTGCAAGACCGCCTGCTTGCAAGACATGGACTGCAAGGTTTGGGTTTGCCCGTCCTGAAAATTCGGGTGCCGCGTACCTACATGGGTGCCATGTTGTCATGGTTACCCTGTGGTAAATTGAAAGTTCGATCAGTTCGATCCTGAAAATAACCATTTTGCTTTGGAGTGGAAACTAATCTTCCAACCCCAACATAGATGCCAGGGTCATCCAGGGTCTATGTTAAGTTACTGGAGGGTAGTGGTGCTGCCCCAAAACTGTGATTTTATGTTTCTTTTATGTTGTTAAACGGTTAAGATTTCAAACTGAACCCTATACAATCCAAACCCGTTGGATCTCAACCCCAGCTTTCGTTTAATGAGTATATAATAGTATATAATTATGTTATTTTACTTGTTATATATCAACTATATATCAACCTTGTTATAGATCTTTCCAAATTGCTCAAGTCGCGCTTGGACCCGGTCACATGTGATTCAGCTGATCAGCAGCGCCAGGTCCAACATGGTCCAACTAGCGCCCCTTTTAACACTTTTGTAAAGGATGCTGATAACCACAAGTATTCATAAAACCTTTGTGAACTAAACCTTACAAATCTAAACCGCGGTTCAACTTTAAGGATATACATATATAGTTGATATATATATACGTAGTTATATATATACATAGAGTTATATATATATTTACATAGAGTTGTATATATATATATGTATGTATAATATATATATATATTATCATTCGTCAAGTTCTTTGCCAATTTGTATCATTCACCAATCCACCAATTTATGCTGGCTTTATCGAAAAAAGAGGGTGCACCGCTTAGATGCTTTCGCAGGGCATCGAATTCAGCTCGGGGCGTTGTGAAGTCTGGATACGACCTCAAGGTGCGAAGGTGGTGGGTTTTTTAGGGGTGCCACCAGCCCCAACCAGATGTGGATAGGATAAAGTATGATAATGTTATGAAATCTTGAGAAGATGCACTTGAGATCTTTTTTCGTTGATCATTTTTCCGGTAAACTGAGTGTTTGAGTCTACGTTCTTTACGGAAGATCTGGCTTAACCTTGGTGGTTGGGTATGGCCAGCTTCCCCATGAAAATGCTACATGTTTGGTTGAGAGTCTCCTTTATTTTTTGGTTCGGCAACGCCTATCTTCGGATATAATTACATATCTTATCATTTCTATATGATTTCTATTGACTACGGTAAATTATTTTTTGGGTCGATTCACATTGGTCAACTCTCTTTGTCACCTCTCCATTGTTTGGTCATACTGTAAATCCCAGTATTGTTTGTTTAGTCCAATCCTCCTTTTCTCTTGGTTATGAATCGAATCCTGTTAAAATTATATAATCATGTTGTTTTTTGTTTAAGTATGAAAGTAATATCATGTTCAAACTTATCTTCTTTGATCCTCTTTCACACGTTCACACAGTCTATCCCATTATGTTTGCCATGAGATCCTCATGAAATGCTTGGTTAACTAACCAAACCATCAAATCTCCCTAGCGATGTTTGGGAGTCAATACCCCATGACCATCGTCTCATAAAATATGATCGTATCAAATTCGATTACATCATTAATTCGATCAATATCTATCATGAAGATTCATGAAGTATGTAGATAAATATAGATAAATATAGCATAATAAGTGTATAGCCTTTTAGTAAAACGCATGGTTTTCCCATGGCAAAATCATCCATCGTTCCGAGGGATCCAGGCCAGTGCAGCGGTGTCGGGCTTCATGTGCTATCGCTTCGTGGATCCGAGCACCGGAGCGGAAACAAAAAAAACCTGAGGAAAAGATGGGAAAGTGTACTGTGATATATGGCTATGGATCAATACCTATTAATACCATTTTTAGGGGAATGAACATCCATTTACCAGCTATTTTGATGTGAACTACAGGGGTACAAGGTTTTGACACACTGCCATATATATATATATATAATAAAGTTATATATCTATATATACACTTATATAAAACTGGTTGGTGGTTTGGAACATGATCTATTTTTCCATATATTGCAAATAATAATCCTAACTGGCTAACTATCATATTTTTCAGAGGGGTTGAAACCACCAACCAGATAAAGATTATATTATATATATTATATATGTATCAGTATGACTTAATTAACACTAAATCCAATTACATGTGGGTAGATTTGATCACGACCTCACTGTTCTCCCGAGCCCTGGGAATAATGGTTAGTAAGGGAAAGCATCCCCAAATGGCCGAACTATTCAGATTAGTGAAATATTATAATTTACCGAGATACATATAATATGTGGAACACATATGTAGAAAAATATGGGAAAGATCTACTCATATGAGAAAACATTGGAAAATATGATTACGTTTATAAATGGTCATTATGTATATTATGTAGAAACATATAGGCATAGGTCATTACACTAGTCATTACTTACTCGAATGAACACGAAAAATGGAGGCTGTGGATGCAAAAAAGCGTGCACCAACTTGGATGGTTGAAACATGTTGAAACCCTATCAACTGGTGCAGGAGTTATTCCACCCACTATATCATTACATATGTAAATGCATTGCATTTTTGTAACTAATACGATATAATATAACGGATCTACTATGCATGGTATTATATATATATACACATGGTATTATATTATATATATATATTATGATGTGTATGATGTGGTCTTGGGATACCTCCATCCGATTCTTTGACGGTTTGCTATGATATAGTTGGAAACAATGCCTCATTGAGAACTGAGTTACCATGTTTTTACTCTTTATGTTTTAAACAGTGACTGGCCGCAAACTGTTGGATATGTCCAGAGGGTACATACATATATATATAATACATATATATATATACATATACAGTATATACAATACCACTCCTTGTTCATATTACACACCAACATCCCATTCTAAATAGTCCCAAATATGTGATTTCATCCCGTCCTAAACCCAGATTTCTGAGGGGGATGCTTACTATTTGGGGAAAGGAATTATGTATGTATGTATGTATATATATGGTATGAATTGAAAGAAGTGTGATTGTTGGATAGTGATCAATCTACTTCAAGACAATCCCATGTAGCTAATGTAGCTAGGCCGGTCCCTGAGACGTCCAATGGAGGACCAGTGGTAGTTCTGGATCCGTAAACAAAGATTGCTATGGAAAATGGCCAATTTATAGAAAATGGCCAAGTTATAGGTAGTTTGCTTACTAAACATGGTCATTTTCCGTATATAGGTATGTTCGTTTACCAGAGGGTACCTTATATCTTTGGAGAATATTTAAAATGAATAGGAACCAGACATACGAAAGAGTTGAATCCCCTCTTGGGGTTGTAACCCCAGTTATGTTTGTTAGTTTATAGCCATTAAGTTGTTCAATGTATCCACCATAAACCATAGTTAACCTAGACAAATAAACCAACTTGGCTATCATTTGGAGGATGTTTGGGGCCTCACTTTGCTGACTCCCAGGTATTTCGACCACCACAGCATACCCGGAGGGAGCATTCGCACCTGTTGCCCAGTTGCACGAGTAGTTGTGAGGCATGTGATGATCCATTGATCTAATACGATCTACATTATATCCACTCAATTTCATGTGTCTCTAGGTTGATCCTCACTGTTGGAAAATTATACATACCACAATCGTAAAAGAATGTCAGGAGATACACCATTTTCTACAAAGAATTTGTGGAGGACATGGTTGTTCAAATCATCGTTTCATTCCTACTTATATGAATGATTTCATACCCCACCTTGGCTGATACTGATATTGCCCAAAATATATGTTTCAAACCCCAGCAATGTTGCTATTTCCAGCATTTTGCACTCCAACAACCGTCTTGTTCCAAGCTCTTTAAGTTGGATCATTGCGGAATCTACCGAAAAATCATGGAAAACCATCTGTAAACAATGATAACAATGCTACTGTAAAACCTTTTTTTTCTCCAACTGTAGGTTTACTCTTCTGCAGACGGCAGGTCGATGGCGGTACGGGTCGCGCTTGCCGAGGGGCCAGCCCAGGAGACAACAAGGCAGCTGGGGCCGCTGGGCAGCTGGGCAGGTGAATGGTTTCTCGATAAATGTTGATATACTGAGGTATTGGATATAGTTCTGGGAGAACCTTGGTTTTATATATATATATACATACATACATACTTTAGTACTTTAATCTTTTGCTAAGAATGGTAGAATGTACATTCAGCAATTCACCAGCTAAACATGAGTTTGTTGACATTTGCTGACAGGTACCGTGAATGATTCACCATGAGTTGTTCATATTCCAGCGAAAAAACATTGAAATTCATGGCTTCTGCTGGGTCTCCCAGGTCTCCCAGATTCGCCGTGCGTTACCAAGGAATGCAGCGTACTTCAGCAAGTTTGTTCGGGCTTGACCACTGTCAGTAACATCCCTGGGTTCCTATTGTTTCAAGATGGTTCAAGTGCTATCATGTGCTATCCACCTCTTGATGCACTGTATCCCTTCTTTGGGATTGTTGTTGTGCAGCCATACACATACATGCATACAATGTTCAAAGTTTTTGGGCAACAAGATGGGTAAACTCTAACATCACATATCTATACATATCTCAGAACACGTTCTTTACTTCTAGCAGGACATCAAATGAACAAAACGCAACAGGATTACATCCACAGTTTGTATGCATACCATCTGCGTCATGGGTCGAAAGTTAATAAGTAAGCTGATATCCCCAAGTGTTGCTGGTATTTGCTAACAGCAGGCGAGCCACTACACAGTTGAGGCTGCAAGCAGTTTCTGGTCGAAAGAGTGGCTGATGATCATGGACCAATGTCACACCTCCAACTATCCCAAAATGTGGCTGAAGATCCGTCTACAGGAAACCCCTTGAGTTGATGAGTCAAATCATGCTTTTGAGCTAATTTTACCATAAACTAAAACATTGAAACTCCTAGGAGTCTGAACCATCATGTCATCATGTAATGTAGAAGGTCCACCATTTTTGGAAGCGTGGCTAAAATGGGAGCGGCTCAGAGTGTGTCCTCTTCACAAAGTTGGATGATGCTTTGAACGGGGAGCAACATGATCAACACTGCCGACTCCTCAGTTTGAAATTCTGACCGAAGTGCCCATAGTCCATATCCAAATGTGTGTGTGTCTTTCAGAATAGAATTGGCAATTAAATGCCATTAACCCCTAAATCTCAGGCCTGATGTCATCAATGACCATTTAATAATCAGGGCCGTTTAGGGCCCATCCCCCATGTTGAGACAAACCCATATACAATGTGGCTCATGTGGCAATTCAACATGTCATCGGAAAAGCCCTATGTTTGATGGGAAAACATATCCCATAGTATCCCCCGTGAGCCTCGAGCTCACGCAAATCCAAATCCCTATACTCCATGGTGCTGGAATATTTAGTTCAACATATACCCCCCCAAAATGGCGCCAAATGAAGGCAACTATGAATCTGTCCGAAAATGGGGATACACCAAAGTGACATTGTGAATGGGAAAAACATCACAAAACGATCATCAACATATTTGGTAAGTATATGATAGTATATGTAAGTATCAAGTATTCCATTTTCTAGCATATACTTACATATACTATCATATACTATCATATACTATCACATATTTTCACAGAGTCCTATGCCGAGGCTTAACGAACTGCAAGACACTTTGCTTCCATGACGCAAGCTGCAAGGGTGTCGCACCTTAGCGGCGTCAGCTGATGGGGTAGACACACACACACACACCGGCAATCACGTAATGGCATGTGTTTATGTATGGAAGAAATCATCATTGATCTTGCATCGTTGGTATATGTTGGTATGGCTCCTGTTAAAGATTAGAAATGGAACTTCGACAACATGTTTTTGATCATCGCTGCCTAGTGGACCAGGTGAAGGTGTCATACTGGCGGGCCCCAGTAGTTGCAAGGCACAGAACGGCAGAGATCACAAGTCTCAATTGCTCACAAAGTTCAGGTATCATTGCAGTACTTTGGGATGTTCAGTGCATGGATTCATTCTCATTGGCTCCAAGTTTTCCATGTGAAGTGTTTTTGTTGTTTTTTGGTTGATTCCTCTCTATGCTGAGTTTGTCCTTCTCCATACCGCTCTAAAGTCAAATCGCCACTTGTCGCCATTTTGAACCATGGCATGATTTCTTGGCAGTATACATATGTATACATTATGATAATTTGATATAATTTGCCTCAATCGTCAGAAAAAGAAGCAATCATGAGCATCGAACATGAGAAAGACAAGACTGCAGCCCTGGGGATGAAATGCTGAGCCAAGGAATACAGCCCGGGCCGATGTGAAATCTGGACCCGCTCTGCAGGGATTGAGGTGTGCAGCACAGTGAAGGGATAGCCCAACGATTGGCTGCAGCTAGGAATTTGGGAGTGGTGTGTACATGTACAAAATGTATCAAAACATGTTATGTCCTTTTCAGTCTGATGTTTTATTGTCAGTTGACAATGGTTGCTTTCTCTGTTTCTTATGTTCGGAATCATTGCATGTATACGCATATACTAATGTGTTAATATATAGTGTTTTTACAGCATATATCATAATCATATATAAGTATATATATATATCATTTGTGTGATATGACATATTTGTTTATGAATCATTTCTCGTATGTCCTTAACCGGCCGTCCTAAAAACCAGTTCTCAGTTCGCTCCTTTTTCGGCCGCAGACATCGATTGCCTTGGACGGCTACGAGTGTTGGCGCAAGATGGACGACTCTTGAGCCGGAGCTTTTCGGGATGTCATTAACGGGGCTAGAAACTACTAGTCCCATCTAATCCCAGGTCAATAATCCCTGGAAAGCTGTTTGCTATAAATGGAACATACCCTCTGGTAATGACTAACATAGCTATTGAAAATGGCCATTTATAGTGAGTTTTCCCATTAAAAATGGTGATTTTCCATAGTTATGTTAGTTTACCAGAGGCTAACCATAACCAGCAATTCATTCTTGACCGACCAAAGATTGTTCGAATGATCCCTTCGAGGTCATCCGTGTAATTCACCGGACAAAAGTGGAGTGGAAAACTGGCACTTTACTCTACATGTTTTCTTCCCCAATCGTGGAACCATAGATTGTCAATTTTAACTACTAATCTTATGGCTGAACAAAGATGTTTACCATTTTGTACTCGTATTATTTTCTTGCATTTTTGTTCACCACCAAAAATAGTACAGATTCCATATGTCCAAAGATGGTCAAAATTGAGATGGTTTCCCAGCCCTTCCATCACACAAATGATTCCCGCCTGAGGATGGTACAACCATTACATCCAGCTGCCAAGCTCAAACCTCACAACTAGGCTGGATCCCTTTGGACACACTTCACCGTACTGTAGTTGGAGGGATTTATTTACCAATGTTCATGTATGACCATTCATCAAATGCACTGGTTGGCCATTCATTTTGTACTCATGTGTTCAGATTATATTCAGATTAATATATATAAATCAATATTCTAAATATGTCAAAAGAGTCAAAATCATAATTCTTTTTCATTTTTAATCCTCCTCCAGTAAACTATACATGGAAAATCCTACCATGAATCATGAATGTAGATCATTCACAGGAATTCCATGGATTTCCCATAGCTTTTGTTTCTTTTACTGGAGACCTGGCCCCAATTTGACGCCAGGCGCCACCGACGCTGTGTGCACCGAGACATGCAGCTACTTGGCTTCAGGGCAGTGGCCCTGCGGCGAGGGCGGTCCTTGCGTTTGCGGCGGCAGCACGACGAGGACCACGACAACCACCGCGACGACCGCTGCGACGACCACCGCGACGACGGCAACGTCCCATGGCGAGGAATGGCTGGAGGTAGTGGAAAAATGGCTGGAGGTAGTTGAAAATCGATGAGAATGAAGATTGAAGACGGTGGAAAGGTGTGGAAAGGGATGGAAAGGCAATGTTTAGGCGGTAGATTGGTTTTGGAATCCAGTGTTGGCCCATGTGTTGGAGGTGAAATGACCCCTCATAAACCATCCTAAATAGAGGCTATTTTGAGCTGCAGGTATCTGCTCCGATGAAGTCCAAAGTCCAGAAATGGCTAAAAATCCAGGGGAGAAGCCCCGGTAGCGCCTGCGTTTATAAATTGACAAGCATACACCAACTTCGTATTGAAGATCATCCGCATTGGGGTCGAACCTAAGCTTCAATTGAGCAGCCTGGTAAAGTACTTTCCTGGCTGGCACACGGTTGCAGAAGTCCCTGGGGAGATGATGTGTTGTTTTGTATCATGAGCTACTCATAGAGGAATGGCTCAAGATTATGTACCCCCAAACTGGATGGTTGGATAGGAATTTGATTTGTGGGTAATGAGTACTCCATGTTTGAGCCAAGCCCATGTATTCATGTTGAAACAAATCCATCTCTAGTGTGTATTGATCAATCACTTGACATGAAACGATGTCCAGAGACGATGACACTTTTCTGTAGTGTAGCTCCGCTCCACTTTAGGACAACGCAAAGTGTCTTTGGCAGCGTTGGTGGCCGTGCTTCGGGGCTGGGTGATTAAATACCTCGCTGGACATTAGGTCATGAGGTTCTTCACTGGCCAACGCCAGTTTAGAGCCTTGTTTTGCTATCAGGTGTACAATAATTATGCAATGGGGAAAACACAAGTTGTAGTGGTCATGGAGTAACTATGGACTGAAAACACATTTGAACTCAAAGCTTGTAGTCATGGTGGAAGACTCTCAAGAGATGTCATGAGCAAGCAGCAATACCCTGGGGGTATAGAGCACGCTTTACCCTGGTGACCTCAGGCGCAACCACCACCACGACCGCAGCCACCACGACCGCAGCCACCACAACCACGACAACCACCGTGGCGACCACCACAAATGGAGCCACGACCACAGGGCCAACCACCACCTTGTTCCTCGGTCACCATGGTGGTTTTGTCAATGAGGCTTACTGTACCCCAAATGGGGGGTTCCATAAATGGGGGACCTCAATAGCTGGATGGTTTATATCTATAATGAAAAACTATATTTAAATGGATGATTGGGGGGTACCCCCATTTTAGGAAACCACCACATGGCCAATTGAACATGGAAAGTTCATGAACATGCTGAAGAACCGATGGATTTAGGCCTCAGACAAGGCCTCAGTATAATATAGATGGTGTAATACAGGGTGTCATACTATACCAAATCTATATATTGGGGACATGATTCATGTGTAATCCATGGGAATCCTGCTCGTAACAAGCCACTGCTCAATTGATTCTGAATCGTGGATCCAAGTTCGCAAGCATCTAGTCAAGTCCTCTTTATAAGTTTGTTACAAGTCAATAGCAATGATAAATCATTTCGTTATTTTGGTTGGTAGTTTAGGCTATGTTCTATTGTCAACTCTCTTTGGTATGATGGTCTGAAGACTTGTTCAGATGGGTTTAAAGTTTAAACCGCCAACTTGTGAAGAAAAAACCGTATTTCAAAATTGGATATCACTGATGTCTATCTTTTAAATGGATACTTACCCTCCAGTAATCAAACATGGCTGGGAGAATCCACGCTTTTCAGAATTGTATCGATGATTTTCCTATATTCTGAACATTTTCCTATTAAAAAACCTCCATTGATAGGGTATTTCCCATGAGTTGAGGGTGGAATGACGCATGCTTTGAGCCGTTCGCCGTTCGCCAAGGTCCTCTCCATCCACGCTGATCCAAGAGACGGTGTCAGCCCTGCAAAGCTCCAACTCCGAGGGAGCAGCGAGGATGAATTTCCACGGGGAATCCCATGGGATTTCTACAAAAACATCAAAAACTGGGAAGAATATACCATTAAAATCATTACTGCTTGGTGGTTTGGAATATTATTTTTCTTATTTTTCCATAATATATGGGAAGAATAATCCCAACTGACTACAGTAATATGTTTCAGAGGGGTTCAAACCGCCAACCAGTATACCATTAAAATCATGAAAAGCAAAAGATTAAAGTCCTATATAAATAAAAGTATGAAAGTATCTATATAACCAAGGTGGTCCCCGAACAATATCAAATCAGTATATGGATGTTTCCCAAAATGATGGTACCCCAATAGCTGGATGCTTTATGATGGAAAATCCGAAAAAAAACATGGATGATTTAGGAGGTAGCCCTATTCTAGGAAACCTCCATTTAGCACATGTATGAACCATCCAATTTTGGGCTGTTTTTCGACATCATCCACCAGCTGAACAGCTGACAAAACTTGGAAGCATAGGGGTCCCCAAATGCAGACCCTCAAGAATGAGATATAGTTATCTCATGTTATCTCCAAAAAGATTGGAAAGTGCCCTTTGGTAAACTCACAAAAAACTATGGAAAATAGTGTATATGAAAGTATATGAACATATTGTAGAATCACCGCTTTCAATAAAGGTAATTCAACTACAAATGGACCATTTTCAATAGTGAACTGTTAGTTTACCGGTGGGTACCTCCAGGCTCTAAAAAGCTCAATGGATCCATTGAAGACACCCAGCTTACCGCCAGGTTGGCAACCCATTGAAGCATGGGGGATGTGAAGATTCTTGAGCTATAGCCATGGTATGCCATGGTTCTATCAGGAATATGGTAAGCCTCACTTGTTCAAAGTGTATCAGAGAATCTTCAGATGGTCAGATTTAAGGTGACTTTGATCATTAGATTAAGCACATGCGCTGTTGATGGATTAGTGACCCATTCGAAACTCATGACTTTTCATGACTTAGATTTATACTGACTTCGCACAGCATTATAATCACCCCGCAATATTGAATATTTGTTTCACGGTGTCAAGACACATCATTGTATTGATGCGTCTTTTGAATTTGCAACTTATTGTACGTATATTTACTGTACATACATTTACACATTACTGTACATATACCCACATATCACATATCATCGTATATGATATATATATATACATATGACGATATATGCAGATGTGCACATGCATGTCAAGGGGTCTCTAAACAAAATCCCAGAGACCCCCAGAGCATACTCCTTGCCATATAGGGACTTAGGATATGCTCCAGAGGTACCGCAGGTATTGCCAAATCATCTTACAATGTCAATGTTTGTAAGCTACTATACCGTTGCAACTTATCAATGTATACATATGTTAATTATATATAATGTGGATACATATATGTATATATATATACATTATATATAATATACATATAGTATGGTTTTTTTTCCGCATGACTTCAGGTCTTCATGTACGACACTGGCACTGGTTGGCTTCCTTCCGACATCTACACTTGGCCTGACATGATCGAGGCCGATAACGGAGCTGGTGGAGCACGTTTCTGAAATTGGGAACCATTGAAACCTTTGGTAAAGCCACTAAAAAACCATCCGAAATTGGCTTTATAAACTTGGGTATGTATATATATATCTATCTATCTGTCTATCGATCTATCTATCTATCTATCTGTCTATCGATCTATCTATCTATCTATCTGTCTATCTATCTATCTACCTATCTATCTATATCTATCTATCTATATCTATCTATCTATCTACCTATCTATCTATCTATCGATCTATCTATCTATCTATCTAATCTAATCTAATCAAATCTAATCTAATCCAATCTTATCCTATCCTATCCTATCCTATCCTATCCTATCCTATCCTATCCTATCTATCTATCTATCTATCTATCTATCTTATCTATCTATCTATCTATATTGTATTATATATATACACCTATTTCTGATGACATTCAATGACCCCAAATGGCTGATAAGTTGGATGGTTCGGTTTATTAGTGGGTTTACCTCATAAATTCTATTGTCAATCAGCAACCGAACTATTGGTATGACAAGAAAAGATGTTTGAAAACAAGACTTACAGTTAAAGCACTTTACCAGTTCTTTTTATGGTTGTAAATGGGGTTATCAGTCCAAAAATGGTGTTATTTCACTGACTGATAACTGGTATTTCGGGCAACTGTAAGATTTGAGAATGATGAACCCGCTGGCTTGAACTTGAAACTTACAACAATGCTAATGGTGGTGTCGTTAAAACAGGCCCATCCTCAGGTCCTTTGAGAAGCATATAATATATGTCCCACAAAAGAAACATATACAGTAAGTCCGAAGATTGCCATGGTGAGGTATAAAGGGGTAACATTGCAGCCTCAGAAAAGTGAGAGGGCGAGGATTCAATTGAGCGATTCATAGTGACCTCACAACGACATCACCATGAAATGCCAAATCACTAGGGGAACAATACAGGATTTGCAAGTGCTTCAAAAATCCTAATCAATCATGGTTGAAGGTTGACGTCAGAACACAAAACATGACAAGGGTTCGGAAATCTTAGCAAGTGGGAAAAGGGGAAAAAACGGACGTAATATCAGATATCCATTGAGACAAAAAATGTTTGGAAGTCTTGGCAACAGGATGCTGGCCTTGGACCTTACAGGATTTTCAAAAGTTGGATTCCATTGGGCTGGGGTTTTGAATCCTCAAGGCATCAAACGTTGACAGAGTCGTGAAAACCACGGAGAACCAACTATGATGATGATATATGATGAGCTGCCCGTACCCTCTGACCTTGCCCATGCACAAAACCAGACCGCGCAATGTTCTGTATTGTAGTCAACACCTCACACCTGAAGATTGGACAGAAAGCCAGGGGGTTCAAATTGAAAAGATTAGCTGATTCCAGACAATAAAGAGCTTCTTTAGATGTCTTAGTCAAACGCGGTGCTTTGTTTATGGAGGTGTTGTTTTTTTCCGTTTTGTTTTTTATTTCTGTTTCCCTGTTTCTTTGCTTTTCTGCTTTTTGCTTTTCTGCTTTTCCCTGCTTCTCTGCTTTTATAGTTCTTTGCTTCTTTGCTTCTCCGCTTTTCTGCTTCTCTGCTTCTTTTTGCTTCTTCGCTTCTCTGCTTCTCCACTGAGTGTGTGCTGCCTCTCTGCTTCTCCACTTTTCTGCTTTTCCAGCTTCTCTGCTTCTCCGTGCTTCTTTGCTTACCTGATTTTCTGCTTCTCTGCATACCTGCTTTTCTGCTTCTCTGCCTTTCCTTCCGTTTTTGTTTCTCATACTGCAGATAATCCTGAAGAAAACTCATATAAATATGCCCTAAATCAACCATAAATGAACCCCAAACCAACCAAAGAAAGACTAAAGCAACTCTAAGTAAACCCTAACCACTCCCCAAATATATTTGAAACTAATCCTAAATAAACCTTTACACCAGCCCTAAATAGATCTTAAACCAGACCGAAATATTTTTTTAACCAACGCTAAACACACCTTAAACCAATCCTGAATAGGTCCTACACCAACTCTAGATAGATCCTAAACCAAGCCTGGATAAACCCTAAACAAACCCTAAACCAGCCCCACATAGATGCTCACCCAAACCTAAATAAACCATAAACCAACCCTAAATAGACTTTAAACCAGCCATAAATAGATCCTAAACCAAGCCTAAATAATTTGTTACATACATGAACAGTTCAAGCACCAAAATGACAAAATGTTGCAAATTCCATAGAAAATGAGAGGTTCGAACTCAAAAATGCTGCAAATACCGTTGAACCGGCAGCTTTCAGCTCCAAAATACTGCAAATTCCATGAAACATAATTACTATGAGGGCCCACACTCGTCACACCCTAAATGCCAAGCTTTTCGGGTCCCATTTCTGGTGCCCAATTCAGACATGTTTTTGCCATGGCCCACCGACGGATGAGAGAATGGGGGTTACAAAATGTTGGAAAGCTGTTCTGTATAGCTGTGCTTCTGGACGCCCCTGTGCGTAGCTGAGGGCAGCGTGTACGCTCCTGGGTGCTGAGTGCACAGCTGGGGTACGCTACTAATAGTACAGTAAAGAGTAGATTACATGTGGGAATCTAGAAATTAAATGCATGTTAGGTTGCTTTCATCCGGGATCTAGTAGACATGTGCGGAATTGAGTGAAGGACATGGGGTCATCGGCGGACTGTGACGCCTGCAGCTTTTGAGGGACCTCAGTTTGACACTCGGAACCACTCCCGTGTTTTTGAGGGACCTCAGTTTGACACTCGGAACCACTCCTGTGTGTGTAACAGTGCATGGCTGACAATGGCGCTGGTGGGGCTGCTGCTGCTGGTGCACCTCCTGCTGGTGTTGCAGCGCGGGCAGATGGCAGCACTGAAGCCGTGCAAGCTTTGAAAGAAGAACGGAAGGTGCTGAAGCTACAGCTGAAAAGGGCCACGGCTTCAATCAAACAGCAGGCCAGGGCAATAGTCTAATCCCAGCACCGGCATCATCCCTGTCCGCATATCCCTGACAGGAACGGCGGCTGCGAGCTCTCCGTGCCAAGGGTGGCGCGCTGACAGTGGCTGATTTGCAATACTTGCTGGCTCGAAAGCTGCGCGAGTGAGACTGCTACTATGCTCCCAATGGCATGCTGCATCCCAAAGGGCTGTAGTCTGCACCTGTCTGTACCTGTCTGCCACCTTGCTGAACACCTGGAGAGATATGATAGATAGACATTGCCATATACATAGATACATCAACATACAATATGTATATATATATACACACATAGATACATCAACATACAATATATATATATATAATATGTACAAATATATTTGTTTATTTGTTTTTTGAGCTATTACTGTGCATGTGGATCTGGTGATTCAATGCGATGCCGATGTACCTCTTGAATACTTGGAGAGTTAGATACAGATATCCAGATAGATGACCGAGACTTAAACATATATATATATATGTGTGTGTGTATCCGTCATGACAATATGTGCGTATATGTATGTCTCCACTAGCTATGGATATGTCACATCATCTCTTTGTCGGATGATCCATTGTTTGTGGCCAGTGGCCCGGATGCAGCGCTGTCCTGGATGGATTGGAATTGTTGTATATGCATATCTAGTTCAAAAAAAGACATGAGATGTTTGCAGGTGGTGTCGGCTCTGTTGGAGGGGCCAAGTCTTCCCTGAAGGGGTTGGGTGGCCTTGCTGGATGCCAACGTGGGCAAAAGTTGCTTTCATGAGCTCACAACAGACACACACACACTCAAATAAACACAAATGGTTTTACCCATGGCAGCGCAGCAGCGCAGTTGCATTTAGACGTGGCTGACACAGGCAGTAGACTGGATGATGTGGAGAGGAAAAAGTTAAGGGGCATGCGGCGCCAGACTGCCTGGTGCACAGCTGCGTGAATGTTGGAGTTCATGATGAGACCGGTACGCTCTTGGGCGCTTGTCGCGCAGCTAGGGGTACCATTACATGGCTGTGCTTCTGGGCGCCGCTGTGCGCAGCTGAGGGCAGCGCAATGTAGCCGGTATGCTCTTGGGCGCTGGTCTCGCAGCAGGGGTACCATGACATGGCTGTGCTTCTGGGCGCGGGAGTGCGCAGCTGAGGGCAGCTGACAGAATGAGAATGTAGCCGGTACGCTCTTGGGCGCTTGTCGCGCAGCTAGGAGTACCACTGCGTGAATGTTGGAGTTCATGATGTGACCGGTACGCTCTTGGGCGCTTGTCGCGCTGTCAGCGCAGTGCTGGCTGCTACTACTGCTACTACTGCTGCTGCTACTACCCTTACTTTTATTCCAAAACTACTCTGAAAATCGTTTTCTCGAATTGAAAAATGACGTTTGGACAAGGTATTAGCATTTTTGTGACTACTACAACGACGACGATTGCTGCTGCTACAACTACTATTACTACTATTACTTCTATTACTACTATTACTACTATTGAAATCTTGGCCTTGAGTCCATGAGGAAGAAATACAGAAATACCATCGAACTACCATCCTGGATTGAAACTGTTCGGCATCTTTTTAAAGAGCCACATGGGCAAACTTGGATGCGCCTCACTCATCATAGTGACACCAATACCTGCCCCAGAAAAAAAACAAAAACGTTTTTTAGGTGGTTAGGATTAGTTTTTCCATTGAGCGAAGGAAATTTAGAAGTCAAACTTCCGACTTATGGGCAGGTGCAGCAACAGTGGTGAGAGCAGTCAGAGAAGAGAAGGAGTCAGAAGAGAAAGAGTTAGGAGAAAGAAGATCAAGGTGTTCGAAAAGGTGGAAGTCGCGCAAAACACTATGATTGGCCAATGTTTGGTGGCCCCGGATGGTCGAAAAGTAGGCTCGCTAAAGCGGCGGGTGCGGAGCCATCTGGTCGTATGAGAAATCAAAAATAAAACGCCGCTGTGAGTCTTTCTCGCTATTTGCAGGCTGTTTTAATCCGTTACAGCCCCATAAAATCCCATGAACTCATATTCGATTGCATCAAATCGTATGATACAGATCCCAAGAAAACACACATATATAGTTTGATATATATATATGATATATATATATATACTCATATATATATATACATATATATATCTATATATATATATACATATATATATATACATATATATATACATGTATATATATATATACATATTCATATGTAATATGTATGTATGCATAGTGTTTGGCAGGCATTCGGTGTGCATTATCATTAGGGTGAGCATGTAAGTTGATGAATACATTTTGGCTCAAGGGTGAGCCAAACTGGCTTCATCAACATCTTTCTTCGGGCGTTACCCAATCCACTACTTGGGCGTTACCCTAGAGTTCATTGGTTCTGGCCTGTTGGGAGTTACCCAACCTATGCTTCGCGCATCTATCATTCCGTACAGGGTGTGTTGCGGCCCATACGGTTGCATCCTGAGTGTACAGGATGTCGAAGCAAGAGTAGGAGTCTAACCAGGGCTGCTGTGCAGGAGGAAACCTGCTCAGCATACCAAAGCACTATCCTGCTGGATGCAGGTTGAGACCAAGATACGAAGCGGAATGTGAAAAAAATCGACCGAGAAGCGAAGGTAGCAGTCGAGTATACGACGTGTCAGTACTTTATATCTCACATCTAATGTATATATACCTATACCGTTCAATCATACTAAATCCATCTAAACACAGAAACCCAGTATAAACCCAAAAAAACACCATTGTTGTTCCGCATGAATCACCATAATTCCCATAAATCCGCAGGCTGTGAAGTTGATGGCCAGCACTGGTGTGGGTCAGTTGAAGTTGTGGTTGGGCGACACCGACCACGTGCCTCCGATGCCGTTATGTTGGTTTTTATTTTGGCTTATAACATGTTGTAACTAGGTGAACTATGGTTAACTAGTGCGTTAAATGATTCCAATGGGGTTATAAGCCAACTTCTACTTGGGGAGGCACATGCAGATGATGCGAACAATGTTCATCACTCTTGGCAAATGTGGGAACATCGCTGACACAGACTTATCGTGTGCTGGGGTGTCAAAGTGTTAGATTGTTGTTTTACTTTTGATACAATTAGAGCATCTTTCCATAACAATTTTAACAGGATTGATCCAGTGGTTCAGATGGATTGTGATAATCATGCTATTTGGAACCTTAAATGTCCAATGATGTGAATGTGTGTATTGACGATGAAAAAATATAGTCAATGGCTCACATAGAGCAATATTACAGTCGTTCATTACGTGTTCATTTTTCTGATTAGAACGACGGGGCCCTAAGTGACTCCTACGCTGGATAAGTTTGGGAGTTGAATTCGCTCTCTCTCTCTCTCTCTCTGTCTCTCTGTTTGTTGGACATTCCATTCCATTGTCAAATTGTCTAAAAGAATCCAGCCACGCACGTTGTTATGTGTGTCCCACAAATCCGCAGCAAAAACAATTCAGCATATACTTGGGGCAAAAACACCTGCACTAGTTGTTTGGTAATGCAGACCTCTTGCAAATAAAAACATTCAAACTAGGAAGTGCTCAGTTAAATATACACACATTGTGTGTATGTTTTATTTATTTATATATCTATATATAATTATATATATATGCCTAGGTATGTATTAATATTTTTCACTTGGGTGTTTTTACCAAACAAATGTATAATTCATATGTCTATCATAGCCAAAACCCTTACATGTAGTGATTGGTCCCTGGTGCTCCAAGATCTACGGCCTCGTAAATGTGGCCGCCTTCTTGGCTCAGTGCATGCAGGCGAAAAACCTCTGATGGCAGTTGGCAGGGGAAACATGGGGGAACCCAAAAAGATTCCAATAGAAAACCCCGAAAAAGTTCCATATCCGAAAATTTGCTATACATCCCAACATGGCATTTGAATGGGGAAATGAAATGATGATTATCCATTTGGAGTTGGGCCTATTCGATTTTAAGACAAACCCAACTTGTAGCAATGCCACAAGAACCTCATGATAGTAGAGTGGGAAGAATCCCAGAAACGGTGCGTTTCTGTTTGTGTTTTTTCTTAGATCTAGGGAAACATGGTGATTGTTTACCAATGTTTACCAACTAAATGTGGATATGGGTCAAAATAGAAGATGGATGGGTTCCACAGACTTGACTGAATTTTACGTATGAATCATGTGTTTTTCCTCACCAGGTGAGGGTCTCTAGATTTTGTGTCAGACCTCTCCTTCTCCACCTGCCCAGCTTCCCGGCTCCGTGCCCCACCGGACCTCGAAAAAAAGTTTATGCTGTGCTGAACATCTGGCCTTTTGCAGCGCGAATGTTTAGAATGAGCTAGATCGTGACCAATTAGTGCTTGTTCTAGACATCGTTCACTCTGGTCGGCCTTCTCCTTTAGTGGAGATGTATACAGTATACACATGTCAGAAGACATGTCAGAAGATATGCCAAGATACATGTCCGAACATATGTCAGAATTTTACTCAGAGTATACACCAGGATGATCCAGGATGTATTTTTGTGTCACTATGTTTGTCTCAGGAAACCATTCAGTACAACGCTTGCGATGAGCTGCTTGGCCACAGGATGGATGGCGGTATGATTGGAAAATGATGGAAAATGGGAATGCACATTTTGGTGAGGAGTCTCGGGAAGTCTCGCTATGGGTTCGTGTTTTTCACCCAACCTCCATCGACTATCGGGATTTATTTTAGGGTCTGATTCACTAGCCTTGAGTATACCACCCCCTATGCCCTGGTAAATTTGGGATCCTGAAACATGTGAAGCACAGTTGCCTGGGTTACTTCCCAGATTTCCCAGAAAATCCCGCAGAATCAGCAGATCCCCCTGGATATCTCAACAGCCCTGTTGTATTCTAGTTGCCCATGCCCGGAGCAATTTTTGTTGGATATTTAGTCTCGGAAGGAATGCTGTTTGTATGTACATACATCTACATATACACAGTACATAACAATTACATATATCTTCATAATATTTTTGTATGCGATTATAGACAAGATGCAAGAGTATCTGCTCTTAGCCGCCATGGAACGCGCGCCGCTTTGCCAGTAAGGAATAACTGGAGCGACAACAATGTGGTGCAGGAAGCTGGGGGCTCTACGTACTCCGCGACATCGGCCTGTGGGCAGTTGCATCAATCCTACCAGGCTGAAGAGAGGGATGTGTGGATGGTGATCATACATAACAATTCATAAAAGTAGAGGATTCGGTTTGATAAGATTGTACTTTTTGATGACCAAATGTTTGTTTCCTTCACCTATTTTTGTTGCTTTTTTCCGTGTACATTCCCATGTCATCCCGTGTCAAATTCCAAAATTGATCCGTCATGGCTCCGGTTGCTAAGAGGTTTAGACGGCTATATGCGTTCGAAGCTAACATGGTCATTCGTTTTTGTGCCATGATCTCTCCACTCTCATATAGGATGAAAAGACAGAAAAAACAAAGGGATGTTCATGCTACATGCTATTCACTGGCAATGGAAAATGATGTTCATAACTGTTCATATGATGTTCATGTTTTTTTTTATTTTTTTTCGAGCATGTACCTTCCGTTAATATCCGTTACATAATTGTCCATTGCCATTGGGCCATGAGTTCCTCGGCTCCAGGACTACAGCTGCTCAGCCGAGGAGGACGCCATGGCCGGTGGTCGCATGGCATGTGAGGTGGACAGCGGGATGGAGATGAGAGCCTTCACCCAGGCGGAAATCGAAATCGGGTGAGTCTACCATGATAAATGTTGATTTACATGTGTATATATATATAAATATATTAATGTATTAATTTAATATACATATTTTATCATATATATATATACATGATGTAAATATCTATATATGTTCAGTGTGTTATAAGATGCTACAAGATGTTGTAAATAAGATAACGATTGGATTTCTTGTGTAAGGAGGTAATTGGAATTAGAATCCAGCACACGTAACTGCGGTGCACTACCTTATGACTTGTACCCAAGCATGTTCATGAGGAGATTTAATGGGGTTTAATATGATTTAATAGCCACTTCTTTAAAAAATATCATACGATCATTGATATAAATATTGGATATATATATATATATAATCCCTTCCTCCTAATACTAACCCCCCCCCCTAATACAAAACACGGCAGGTAGTTTTTAGTATTAGGGGGGTATTTATTATTAGGGAACCAAATCGAAGTCATGTTAATTAATTAATCAAATTTCCTTATATAACGCAATTAAAATATTGCCAAAAATGGCAGTTCGAAGCTTACCCCTAATACTAAATTAAAACCCTTAATACTAAAAACTATTTTTTCCGATCTCAAAATCAATTAAATTTCCTTATATAACGCAATTAAAATATTGCCAAAAATGGCAGTTCGAAGCTTACCCCTAATACTAAATTAAAACCCTTAATACTAAAAACTATTTTTTCCGATCTCAAAATCAATTAAATTTCCTTATATAGCGCAATTAAAATATTGCCAAAAATGGCAGTTAGAAGCTTACCCCTAATTGCTAGAGTAGCTAGGCAGCTTGGAGTGAGGGATTGGGACTAGGCCCCCCTAATACTAAACACCCCGGGGTGAACTAGTTTTTAGTATTAGGGGGGAGAACCCACAAATGGTAGGTTGATTTTTAAATTGTTTTTTAAAGGGGATCAATTAAAAGTCAAATTGGCCAAACTGAAATTTTCGGAAATTGGAGATGGATGCCTGTTTTTAGTATTAGGGGGACGTTTAGTATTAGGAGGAAGGGATTAACAACAATTATGGTGAAAACCCTGCAATCCCGTGGTTTATCCCGCAGTTTTGGACAAAGCCTGGGTGAAAGCCTGCTGATTCGTCGAATGATTTGTTGAATCGCCCCAGGAAGTCAATCCACCAATATTGGTAATAATATGTAATAATATTATGTATCCAAAAAAACGTATTGTTATAACTATAACATGTTACTTGTACAACAAGATGTGGGTGATGTTTGATTCTGCTTGTAAATGGATATCTGGATCATGGTGCGTGAAAAGCAACTGCAGTTGCTGAAATGAATTGTGGGTGAAGATAGATGAACAGATATTGCTTCATTTTATTGGCTGATAGCCGAGGGGTATGTACAGTATACTTTCTTGCTAGGATTTGATTTTGAATAACCTTGTTTTTTTTTGTGGTATGGAATCACAATAAGTGGCACATGTGCAGTGACTTGCGCTTTTGCTTATCCTGTTGGCAGAATATGCCCAGGAGATCCAGCAGGGAAGACCCAGCTGGGGCCTGCAAAGTAGCTATTGTTGTTGGCTAATAGTCGGCTAATAGACAAAGATCATGATATATCATGGTTATCATGTTATATCATGTTATATCATACTTATATAACTTATATCATATACACTAGCTAACTATGTTTCATGGCGCTTAAAATATGAGATATTGAGATATCTATGGTCTATGATGACACCAAAGATCATGGTTATTGTCATTGGTATATCATATAAACTGATCTAGTTCCAGTTCACTCAGTTCACCTCAAAAGGATCACAACGGGTTTTCACTGTCCTTGGGCCTTGGGTGCGTGGAACCCTCCAGGATCAGATGATATCATATCACTATCAATGGAAGTTTGAATTCAGTTTAAATGGGAAATTTATCTTTAAATTCGTGAACTTTCTAGCTAGCCATGTTTCATCGTCAGAGGGTACAATTCGCCACCTTTTGGCTCAGTTTTACAGGCATCATGATCGAAATTGAGCCGACAGCTGCTTATATCATCAGGTCGCTGCCACAGTGTTTTGTGCCGCATCGAAATCAAGATTTCAGGAAGACATCGAAACAATGAACAACATATTCTTGGTCTTGGTATTGTTTCTGGTAGTTTGAGGTTTCTCAATTCATTGAAGGTACAGTGCAACCCAGGTTGTTTGCTCGCATGTTGTGAGCAGATGTGTGGCACATCTCCTTGTAAAAGCCATTCCAGACCCCAGAATCCATCAGTTTGATAGCATTTAGTATTAGTTGGGAAATTTACCATTATCCATCTACATTTCATGAGATTCCATAGAGATTTTGTTAGGGACTTCACCATCATGAGCTTCAGCGGCTGCTCGACGAACGGGATTCCACTGGCGCCCATGGAGCTGGCGTTCGAGCGCTCCACCACGGCTCCGCCCCTGAGAGACAAGCCCCCTGGTGATAAGCCATGGAAAATTTGGAAGAAAACATGGCTCTATTACCATCAAATGGAAAAGGATTTTAAGATGTTTTAACCATTTAAAAAAATGGGGATATAAATTCATATAAATTGACATGGGATATTCAAGTGATAAGTATGAATAAGTGATGTGTTTAAAGCCCCTGTTGGTCTGTTGGCTGATGATTTAAAACTCAACATGTCTTGAAATAATTATATATATATGTAGGATGGATGATACTAGGGAATTAACCATAAAAATTCCTAGTAGCCAACCAGTACAAAGCGACGACAGGGTTTTGAACACTGCCCAGATAATGTCACCGTGGTTTATGGGAGATGTTACACCAAGTTGTGGGTGTTTAACCAGCAAAGCATGTTGATTTTGGATATGTGGGCAAGCCTTGGACCTTGGTGAATGGTTGAATGGTGAACGGATATGCTGTTTGCTTGGACTGTTGTTGAAGCCAACTTGATGGAGGGATATATGATCCCACATTTGAAGTGCGTGTCTTGCAGGGGAAAGTGAGTCGTGTCATCACCTACTGTATCTACCCTTTGGCAATCTAACCTGGCAATGAGAAATCTCTATATGTTATGGGTGAATGAATGATATACAACTAGGGCGTTTTTCATTGAACAGAGGGCAAATCATGGCAATTACATACACTGAGATGTTAAGATGTTATTGTTACCAGTATAAATTGTAACATGATATATTTACAATCGTTTGAGCTGGGACAATAATGTTCACAATACATGCTGCTCGGTCATAGTGTATCATAATGTACTCTGTGGTAACAGTGCTATGGAAAACCCACCATTTCCAGTCGCCCAGGCTTGATGACCGGCTGCTCGGTACATATAGGATGGGATAGGCATATTTCTTTGCTGGTGAAAAAAAATGCTTTGCTACTTTCCGGACTTAGGATCATGTTCTGCAGGTGACGGCCTTCTTTTTCAAGTATATGTATATGTATATATAATAGCATTGCATATTATTGTATAATGTACATTGGTATTTATATCCATTCTAATTTTGACTTTCTGTTGTTTCTTTTCCCAGCCTGTAAATGATGATTTTTTCCTCCTGACCCAAGATGTGTTTGGAATTAACTCAGAAAAACGGGCAAGCAGGAATTTGACTAATGTGGTAAACTCGAGAATAAACCTTCAATTTTCGATGGTTTATAGCACCCATGCATAGTATTCTTGGGGATAGTTGATGGCGGACTGCTGGGGCGAAGGGAGATCGCATTTTTATCCAAGCCCATTTATAGCATGTCGCATAACCCCACGAAGTATGTATTTGTTTTCATTTGAGAAAGTTACTGTGTATGTATGTAGTAACTAGTAACCCCAAAAGGATAGGAAAGGACAGTAAAACCCTACTAAAATACTCTAGTGACTCTAGTGATAAATTACCTTTCTATCATTTTGGGATTTGATATATGGCCGAGGCTCAACATGTATGGCCCCGATCCATACCCTGGTCCCACAGGCGATCCATAGCCTAGCCCAGATCCATACCAATGATTTGATTAAAACATCTCTAAGGGATATGATCCATACCCTTGAGCCATACCCTTGAGCCATATCTAAAATGACAAGTTCTATACTTATTTCAGGCCACTTTAGTGTGTATTAATATGTATATATATATATACATTGATCTTCTCAATCAGTCCGGATCAGATCCCTCATACGTATCTCACTCGTTCCATACGTCCGGATCACCGCGGAATCCCCGTTTTTTTTGAGCCATAGCGTATCTCATATGGTCCATGTATGGAATATGTCAGAATATGCGCAACATTGATCACAATGAGCCAGTCAGCGAGCAGAATATTCCAGCACCATGGAGCATATGTTGGACCTCAGGATCTCAAATACGTTTCATCGTGGCGTCACAGAGCCCTCGTCGAAGAACACCCAGGCCGATGACATCAGTGTCTTGGTCGAGGAAGGCTCAGGGGAGATCTTTATTGGTACAATGGTATGAACTGTGGTAATACCATTAAGTTATAGCCATAAATATAATGACAATACCATTAACTGTGGTGATAATACCATTAATAGTGGTGATAATGGGTATTAAACGAGTATAAAGCAGGAAGAATAACACCTAGCAATGGGGATGTAACGGGGATATACCCAGTATTTGGGCTTCTTCATGGATATGACCATGGCAGTTACACCCATAAGTTGGTAGCTGCCCTACACTTGTTATTACTACTACTAGTAGTAGTACTACTACTACTACTCCTCCTACTACTACTACTACTACTTCTACTACTACTACTACTACTTCTACTTGTACTTGTACTTCTACTTCTACTTCTACTTCTACTTCTACTTCTACTTCTACTCCTACTCCTACTCCTACTCCTACTCCTACTCCTACTCCTACTCCTACTCCTCCTCCTCCTACTCCTACTCCTACTCCTACTACTACTACTACTACCACTACTACTACTACTACTACTACTACTACTTCTTAGGGTGAGCTGCACCCCGAATCCCCATATATCCAGTGGACTTGGGATGCATTAACCGGAT